AAAAACATGTTCTTAAGCCAATAGGTTCGAATTTATCATGACCGCCCTTTGCAAAGAAGCGAAATCTTGTTTCGGATATATCTTTTGATGCGGTTACACAATAGAGACGAGAGGAAATTTTTACTCACCTGATAGCTTGAGCTTCTGCTTTACCAATCAATTTTTGCTGAACTTTGAAGGATTTAAATTTTTACATTCAATGTTTTTTAAATTGAAAAGAGATGTGTTAGCTTATCACTTTTAAAACCATCTTCATGCGTAATTCGCAAATATGCACCATTTCTATATTATGAATCTAATTACTAACCCTAATCTAAATTTAGCTTTTTATGGGAACCCTATTCAAAATAAAGAGAGTTGAATTTAATTTTTGGTAGTTTGGAACGTTTATATAGAAGCCTTTATAATCCTCAACAATGTTTTCTTTTATAAATTGCATCATCACGCAAAAGTAGCCATCAATAAACTTCTTGTGGATAGCTTTTTTCCAAAGAGAAAAATTTCAATTCAATGGAAATTCCTAGGCGTAGCTATCGCCATAGACAAGCGCGTTCTTCAGCTTCTTTTCACTGTTACGTCGCTTCATATCAAGTACACACATAAAAGATTGAAACTGATTTACATCTGCAATTGCACATCCTTTATTTATCATTTGCAAGATATGGTGCGAGAGTATCATCATGTTGTTAATTACCATGTTGATTCTTATGCTTGTCTGCTTAAGTTGCGAATCGGCAGAAGAGCGAGATGTTAATATTGATGCTTAGAAAAAAACCTCTCGATCACTTCCATAAAATATCTTGATTTCATTCCTAGATACAGCAAGCACCATTTTTCATGTCTGAGATGTTACGTATTCGATAAGATAAAACTCATTGCTGTATATTGAGAATTTACAGCAAATAATTCAATTTAAGAAGCCTACCGTATTTAGTGTGGTTACACAGAGTTTGGACTGAGAAGAGTTTATTTCAAAAAACCTTGAGGTCCAAACAGATGACCGCAGAAAGCAGAAACAATTTCTTTTCCATTTAAAGTTGTTGAGCATTTATTATAAAAAATCATTGATCAATTTGAAAACTCTAAACTTGAAGCCATTATAGTATTTTCTAAACTCAGTAATGCAGTCTGTGTGACTAATAGGGAACCTTTACTTCTTTCAGACTTTGTGTCCTAAATGGCCCAGCAATGGCATTTTTACCCCCTTTACTGGCTTACAAGGCACTTCGAGCTAGCGAATGCACATTTACCGAATTGGATACAGTGAATCCGGATATTTGGTTGGGGAGATTGCAAGAGGTACGCTAAACCCACGTTACCCATTGAAGCTGCATAGGGTTAACGCTTGATTCAGATAGCCGGAAGCATCTTAGTCGCATGTATTTCTTTTATCATAATTGGTGCGACAGGAATGGCTGGTGGTCTAGCAAGACTTATTGGCCCAATGACAATTGTTCCATTGATGATATTGCTAACTGCAAGTATAGTTCCCACAATTGAAAGCAAATTGACCCTACATTGGATCTCACTAGTGTAAGCGACCTATCTACAGCAAACATAGAATTATTTCGCCACAAAGATATATTCAAATGTGAGTTCTTTAGAATGCTAGCATGTATTGTTGCAATGGCCGTATATCTGGAAAACCTGAGACTGCCTTTTCCATACTTTTCCATCAAAAAGAAGCGTTTTGTCACAACCGAAATTCGCCTTTTTGGACAGTTTCCGGTGAGTATGTAAAGGAGAACGCTTAAAGTGACTTTATTCTTGGCCATGGCTTATTTATGCAAAAATCTTCCCGTAAAATCTGCTGGCTATATGATTTTATTCATTACCTGTATTCTGTAGATTATGACATACAGTACCTCTACAGTGCTAATAGTTCTACATACGGTTTATGGCCCTCTCATTGCATTCGATACAGCAAATCCATTCTAAGTTCGTACCCAGAGCCCATAGCTCCACGACACAAGTTTATTCAAAAATATTCTAATTATATAGTCAATACCGTAAAACTAACCATAAGATCTTGTTTATTACTTATTTAGTGGGCTTGAACAAGAACCCCGAGTCAGCTCTAATGAGTGAAAATCACTAGGTGAAGTGGTAGTACCTTAGAGTGGAGGAGATTTCAGGAAGACGCTAATTAATGTTCATTACAATG